CCCCAAAACCCCAAAACCCCAAAACCCCAGGAAAGAAAGATACAGAGTTAGTAGATTAATTGGTTATATTAGTTCAGTATAAATATTTAAATATTTATCAATGCAGGATATCAAGGCTGACTTCATTTGCCCTTTCAATGCTTATCACAAGCTGCAAGACGCAAGGAAACTCCAATTTCATATTGGGAGATGTGGAGACCGTAAGGGCAAGACTGTGTACAGATGCTAGTACAACAACTCTCACATCTTCATTGAACCTCAAAAGCTTGTTCAGCATGAAAGACAGTGAGTGCTCAATAACTTTAATTGAGTTCAGTGACCAATATTTATAGATGTGAGTTTAAACCAACTAAGGTAGAGAACAAAGATGAAGAAGCAATGGATATCAACACGGCTGACGACTACTAGAAGTTGCTTAATGAAGCCTCCACAAGAGTCCCGGTGGTTGCTTACTGCAAGTACAATGTGGAACATTTCTTCAAGACCGTCAAGGAAAGAGAAACTCACGAGAGTGTCTGTGAAAATAGAGGCCAGTACGAAAGAAACAGTGAGAAGACTCAAAAGATCTACAATAAGAACAGGAATTGGATTGAGTAGACAAGAGTCAACAAAAAGGCCAAGAATCAACAGCAACTTGAGTTGGGACTAGTCACTAATGTCCCTGAAGCATCTATCATGCCTCAACTCACATACAAGTATGTAATGAATGAACCATTTATTGCTGGTTCAGCAGCCACAATTTGCAATTCACATGATTAATTCAAGTTCAAGAGGACCCGAGACTTTGAAAATCCAAACAATGAGCCTGCTGAAATAAAGAATAAAACTGAGGGCGAGATATAGATGGAGCAGGAGAACTTGTGGAATGAGATAAAGGAAAACACTAATGAAGACATTACTAAGATGATAGTCAAGCAAGATTGTCTGGAGATCTTTGCTCTAGATATTGTATTCAAGCAAAGATTCGACATGTAAGATTGATAACATATAATACTTTTTCAACAGAAATTTGTTTGAGTTTAACATTGACGAGTATGTATCATTCCAAAATTTCAAGGACTTGACTGGAATTGATCTGAGAGACATCGAAAAATGCTCACAGTTCATGAAAGAGAATGTGCTTTTTAAATTGAATGTAGTAAGTCATGAAGACTAGAAGGGGTCCAGATAGCTAGGACTGGCGATGCTTGACCAACTTAGACATTAATTTGAAAGCTAGATAGATCACGATCATGTGACTACTATCTGCATGAACTATACCCAAGGAGTGTCTTTGTTTGGAAATGAATCAGAATCTAATCAGGGCAGAAGTATACTATTCCTGGTCAGTAGGTTTACCAGATAAATCTCACATTACTTGGACGAGTGCGATTTCACTATCATTCATTACTAGAGTCCAATAAAGGATGAGCCTAATTCTACGATATTATTACCAGGAGGAATGAACGCAAATATGAAAATACTTTGCCCTGAGGATGATGCATCTGGACTGCTTAGAGCTTGGCAAGAGGCCAAAATGATAAATGACAAATTAAAGTTGGAAAATGATGACTTTCAGAAGTAGATTGAGAGTCTTGAGAAGATAAATAGAGATAAGGATCGTATCACTAGATAGGATAAATCTTAGATCAATTACCTTGAGCAGGAGAACAGAAGGCAAAAGGCAAAAATCAATGAACTTTAGGAGTAGTTGGGGGAATGTGAAAGTAAGAAGATGAACCTCGAGAAGGAAATCAAGGAGCTAAATGATCAACTGACTATTATGCAGAAGAAGTTTGAACTTGAAAGGCAAAAAGCTGAACAATATCAGCAAAAACAGAATGAAAAAGAATTAGAGCTGCACAAATCAAGAGATGTGCTCAATGGTGCAAATAAGTAGCTGAAAGTGAGAGACAACCAAATTAAGGTTTTGGAAGAGAAGCTAAAGCAGACTTAGGAACTACTTAATTAGGCAGCAAATATTCAGGCACCTGGCAATGGAAGTAGCAGACTTGATGACCCTCTAAGCTTGATAAAAAGTGAGTTCAGTTAGATGAGTAATCAGCAGGTGCTTACTTAGCTCATCCAGTTAATGGGCCTCGATAACATCAGAAAAGAGTTAGAGGAATCAATCTCATTGCAAGTAAAGCCTAAATATAATTAAGCTGATGAATAAGATGAAGAGATGGAAGAAGTTGATTAAGAAGGAGAAATAATAGATGATGAAGTTGACATGAATGTGATTAGATAAAATGAGCTGCAAAAGAAAGCAAGAGACCTAATGAATCAAAGCAAGTAATAAGCTTAATAGCAGTAGCAGTCTAAACTTCCCTAGTTTGAGAAGTAATCTGTAAATATCATTGGAGGGGACAAGCCTTCATCAGCCCACTCCAGCAAGAACGGGAAATAGCATAATCATCAGCATTAGCAAATGAACCAAGGTGACCTGGACATCCTTCTGTGTCTATCATGCCAGGATAAAAGAAGAGACACCATTATTTAGACTTGCAAGCATTTGGTGTTCTGCAAGGATTGCGAACTCCAATACAGCCTAAAAAATCTACAGAAAAAAGAGTGCCCTATTTGTAGAAAAGAATATAAGAAAACCATTCAAATTCTCTATGCCTGAGATTTTCAATACTACTACGATAGAATATCTAAGCACATAGCTACCTTCCTATGAATAAGTGCATTGATTATTATTAATTTCATAACAATTTGTTGATCTTAGATATTCTGAAAATGTGTTTTATGGGGTTTTGGGGTTTTGGGGTTTTGGGG